GTCTTGTGCTCCAGGGAGCACATGCTGGGTTGCCTGATGGGTCAGACGGATCTGGTGGTGAAGGATCATGTGTTGTGCGATGATGTTCTGTTTTCAGGTCAAATTGTCCCGTTTGTGTGTGTTCCTGCTAGTGACTGCTCCCTGAGCATTGCATGCAGAACAGACTCATCTAAGGGAGTGGGATTTAGTACTTATATTTAAAGAAATGAAAGGCATTTCTGGTGCTTGTTCAACTTGTTCTCAACATACATTTCCAAAACAGGTGGTAGGTACTATTTTGAAGTTTTATTAAAATTGATTTTAAGAAACAGGCTTTGCTCTTGTCTTAATTTATGAAATGCTTCCTTAGCACTGAATTCCGCAGTTACCCACTTTGATTTCTCTTCTACATCTTGGTCCTGCAAATCTTAACACAGTGGTCCCCCTCCCTCAAGGTGAAGTTGTGCAAGAAGCCCAGGGTGACCTTGTGTTTCTGGTGAGAAATTCCAGGCAGTGCTTCTCCTGTGACTGTTGTTCTCTTGCTCTTTGCAGGCTGAACTGACTTTCAGTGCAGGGGACATTATCACTGTGTTTGGGTCCATGGACGATGATGGATTCTATTATGTAAGTAGAGGGATTGGGAAGGTCTTGTGGCTATGTCTGAAATCGTTGGAGTCCATCTAGTGGCAGTAGAGCAGAAATCAGGGAAAAAAAAATACTCTGCTTTTGGAAAAAAACTACATCCATATCAGCTTAGTGCAGTGCAGATTGTTTCTGGCAGTCCATGCTCCTTCTATAAACCCAGTATCCAAATGGTTCTGAGTGTATTTCTTGGCATAACCTGACTGCAGGTTTCCCAAAGCCTAGGATGCATTTTTCAGTACATAAATCAGCTGAATCAGCATCTGCTATAAACCGATTTGTCACCAAGTACTCAGACACATGGTCTCATCCAGGGCAGGAGGCTAAAATGGTAACGTAAGAATGAAAATGTATCGTGACCCCTGTCTGGCCACACTTCAATTTGTCAACTTCAACACGCACTGGTACCTGTTTAATTTACTGTGTTTACCTGAGGACTGTGCCTGCCCATGAGCTGTGTGCTAAACATGGTCGTAGAACCATGGAATGGTTTGGGTTGGAAGGGACCTCAAAGACCATCTAGTTCCAACCCCCCTGCCATGGGCAGGGACACCTTCCCGTACACTGGGTTGCTCAAAGCCTCATCCAGCCTGGCCTTGAACACTTCCAGGGATGGAGCAGCCACAACTTCTGTGAGAAACCTGTGCCAGTGCCTCACCACCCTCAATGTCCCTGGCCTTTGGATCATCCACCTTTTCCTGCACAGAAAGTAGTGTGTCCTCACACATCAAAGTTGAGGTTCAGCTCCAGGTAGATCCTGGAGGGGATCACTGTGAATGTTTTGTTTGACTTCTTTTATAGTATTGGCCAGCAACATTGCTGGGGTTGTTTTTGTCTCACCTAACCACCTGCTGTTAAACTGGAGACAATTTTTTGGGAATACAGCCAAGCTTGGTTTGCAGCTCCGGACCCTAATGAGCGCAGAGACAGTGCCTACGGGACATTGTACCTGTAGTACCTCATTCTTAAAAAAAATAAATAAATACCAGAGCAAATCAAATGCCTTTAGAAAGCCTGTGGCACAGTCATGTTCCAGTTGCTTCTGGGATAGCAGTGGAAATTTTCTGAATTTGTAGAAGTGACTGTGTTGCTGGAATACATTTGTCATGGCTTGCTGCCACCTTGTCTTCCTTTACTCTCCTCTTTGTTTTTGCACTCTGAATTGTTCCACAGCTAAGCGGGGATGTGAGTCACGAAATCTGCTGAGGATCCTTCCAACATGAGCGTGTTCCTAGGCTTCTCTCAGACCATAGCCTAGCCTTCTCTGCATAGGACTGCTCCTCTATTTAATATTTCTCCTTCAGCCAGGAAACCTGATGTGAGAACTGAATGTTGATCTTGCAGGGAGAGCTGAACCAACAGAGAGGCCTTGTCCCATCTAACTTCTTGGAAGCTGTAACTTCAGATGCAAGCGTGGTCGAGGAACTTCATTCAAAAGAAAAAGAAGCTTTTCCATTGAGTTCTGAGAGCCAGGTAAGATTGTGTGACTGCATAGTACAGACTTTCACACTGTGATGTGGCTGGAGATTGGGCATTGCCCAGCATGCAGCATCTGATGGAATCATTTAAATTATTGCATGCAGCTCAGTTCATCGCATGGGAGATGCTCAAAAGTTTAGAAGGGAGTGCTAGGAGCTCTCTCAGTCTCATTATGATCAGGTGAGCAAAGAGCATCCCAAGTCCCACCAGCAAATTCTTTAGATCCACAGAAGGGTCATTGGTGAAATCTTGCTGCAAACAAAGCAGTTCAGCCAGCTCCCCAGACACATGCAGTTCCTCAGATAAGCTCGTATCCATGCCAAAGAGTTCTGGGGCTATCAACACCCAAACACCAATGCTCTTCCACCCATCCTGGGTTAGATATATCTTAATCCAGTCCAAAGTACTTTCAGACAAATTCAGAACACACTGGGGAGTTTCCCAAACACAGCTGTGGGATAGATCCTAAGGTTTTGAGAGCAACCCACAAATGCAGGGAATTCGAAGATTGAGCTAACCCCTTGCATTATGTCGCAGATACTTTTGAAACAAATGCTTAAGCAGGAGATTTGGGTGATCTGCCAGATTCAGTCTGTCCTTAGTGAGTGAGACCAAAAGTGTGGCACCTCCCTGATCACTCCTGGATCTCCTGTGCTCTGTCGTTCTAGAGAATGGGAGGCAGGGAGAGACACAGCTTGGCCCCAGCTCACATGTACTCAACCTTCCATTCTTCTTGGGAGGTTATTGACACTGTCAGGTGGTGCCAGACCAATAAAAGTATGTAAGAGCAGGCCCAGGTTGGTTCTGAGCTAGTCCTTAAGGGAGTACCTGGCCCTGAATCCTCCTCTGTAGATCTCTCCACTGCTGCCACCCTAGCTTTCCTGCTTTCTGCAGCATTCCTTGTCCTGTTTTTCATGCTCAGCTCTTCCTTTTCTCTGTACCCGCCTCCCATCTCTATCTTCAAACACTGCCTGATCTCCCTTAGGTTTCATCTGCAGCTCCATCTCATGTTTCCAGGCATTTCAAGCTTTGTGGGTACAGGATCTGCACTACAGCCTCGATGCCTTGTTGTGAAGAGCAAGCGGCAGGCCTTACTCAGAAATAAGGTTTATGGGTAGCTTACTGGATCATCTTCTAAACTTAGAAGTTGTCTGGGTCCCATGTGCTTACCTGTTTAGGATACTCAGTCCATTTTCTCCCAGCCCATGAGTGCTGGTCCTTGCTGGGGATTCAGAGGTGGCAAAGCTGTTACTACCAGGGTTTAAGAGCCCTGAGGTTACACAAATCTAACTTTCCCGGGGGAAATGAGCATTCAGAGTTGGTTTCCTTTTTCAGTTTCCCTCTCAGAAAGATTTACTTTTCCCAAATTACTCATTTATTGGAATAGAGGGTGCCAAAGGAGACCTGAACCAGTAAAATGAAAACAGATTGAATTCATAGTGTAGCTTATTACAGATCTAACCTTTTTCTCTGTCATCAGCCAGCAGCAACAAGGGCCTGTTTCAGATGCCAGAGGTCATTATTCCAGCCTGAGTCTTCCCAGAAACT